TTGTTGTTAAAATTCTAAATACATTATATAATATTGAGTATCCAAGCAAGTTGTCAGACTCTTCAGTAAATTGTTGCTTTTAAAGCTCTAAACAGCTAACTGATATCCTACATCTTTGTTGTTTCTTTCATGCTCTTAGATTTCCATCGTTTCTACTTAACTCGTCAAGCATTAATCTCACCACCTCATTACAGCACCTTTTAATCATTCAACTACCTGTTCACTTCACACCAATTTGTAAGTTCTGACTTTGTTGCTGTGGACCCTTGTCATTCTCAGCTCATGGTTAAATGCTCTGAACTTCTTACCAAGTATGATCTGACAGAGAGCAAAGAGGAGCAGAATGGAAAAGAAAAGATAGCTATCTCTGCATTTTTTGGTTGTCTTTTTCACCTGTATTCTTTTTTACATACCTCGGCCTTTTCAGCTTGCTTTATATATTTTTCGTTTGTGCGGGGAATGGCCATTAGGAAAGTCATGGTTTGTCATGAGTCATGGGAGCCGGTCAGCCGAGCGGACAGCATGCTGGACTTGTGATCCTGTGGTCCCGGGTTTGATCCCGGGCACCGGCGAGAAACAATGGGCAGAGTTTCTTTCACCCTATGCCCCTGTTACCTAGCAGTAAAATAGGTACCTGGGTGTTAGTCAGCTGTCACGGGCTGCTTCCTGGGGGTGGAGGCCTGGTCGAGGACCGGGCCGCGGGGACACTAAAGCCCTGAAATCATCTCAAGATAACCTCAAGATAGGAGTAGTCTTGTATGAGCCAATAAGCATCCTGCTGTTTCCTTTAGTTGTATGTTCTTACATTAGCTCAGTTGTTGTTGTTTACCACTCAACTGGCCCTTCAACACCTTTCACCTCGCCTTCCCTCTTATATTGACTCCCTCTCCCACTCTTGCTCAATTATAACTTGATAAAGACAGTCCAGAATGAACCAAAGCATTTTCACGTTAATGTGATTTCATGTGGGGGTTATTTTCAATAACATTGTGACATTTTCTGCATCTGGATGGATAATACATTTTTAAGAAAAAGATAAATATTTTAATGAAATTAATGCTTGTTTGCTAGCTAATGTTTGTATTCATGATGACATATTAACAGTATACATATCTTGGTTACAACATCTTTTTCCCCGATTTCATTGAAGCATTTTTCATAAAAGGAATTTCTTAAAAGAAAATTGCTGAATACTGTTCGCGCTCTCTATCAAATCACTTTCTGTCAGATCTGAATTTATGCATCACTGCCAACACACCACATGCTGGCTATCATTTTTCATCTAAAGGGCATTTGGTCATTTAATTTTTTAGGAAATATGTCCTGATGTATTTTGTCTTCCCTATTTTGGTGAAAAATTATGCAAGAAAAATGCAAAATGACCCCGAAAAATAAAAATACTTAATATTTTTTGGATTTGATGCCAATTATGCTAAAACAAATTTTTCAGATAATAAAGTTAAGGTGAAATTTGTGGATCATGGAGATGAGGAAATAATAGATCTTACCGAGCTACATGATCTTCATCAGCAGTTCTTTTATCTTCCAGCTCAGGTAAGTCAAATAAATGTTTTGCATTACTGCGTAATGTTGATAATTTTATTTAGACCTACAATCATGTCGGGTACTGAATGCAGGTGAAACCATCTGTGTGCCAGATCCTTCATATGCTCAAGTGACTTGACTTCATACGTATAGTATCTAGATATTAAGAGAGGTTATCCAATTAGGTTATTCTAGGAATGAATAATTTGTTCCTGAAATTGAATTTTTTGTGTTGTCAACTTCTGTGTCGAGTGTGAAAGCTTGAGAAAATTGGTTTTACATATTGTGCTGAAGTGATGTACTGACTCAATCCAACCAGAAACAGATCAAGACTAGAGAGAAGTCTTCTTGCATGGTTCTCCAACTTGTTAAAAATTTAGATATGTGAATTGCCTTATTCATATTGATGGATATACAATACTAGTCTTAGAAACTGTTTTCAATTACCATCTTTCGAACGAACCATTTTTAGTGTATAAGGAGTAAGTAATTTCACATTTTTTAATTTTAAATTTACATTGTACTATATATTTAATAAATACAATATTTTTTTACTTTTACAGCTCCTACGATGTTCTATGGCACATTTAGAAAATGCAAGGAGGGATCCCAGTGCACTTGCCCTTCTTCAGGATCTGGCACTTGGACAGACACTGGTTGGTAAAGTGACTTCCTGGCAAGAGCCCATTTCACTCATTCTTTTCAACACAATAACAGATGAAGATATTAATATCAACAAGAAGATTTCTGAACTCCTGAAGCTAAATTATGTGGAGCCAAAACTTCCAGGGGTAGGTTTTATAACTTAAAACTTTTAGAACTGTCACTTTCAAGTACATATTTACGTACCGTGTTCATATTTCAGTTAGACTTGATTATGCATGCATTGAGAATCCTGCAGTAAGTCAGGTTTCTTGTAGTAATTATTGACGAGCTTCCACTTGATTTAACAAGCGGAAGAATTACACATTAAATTATTGGTCTCTCTACAGTACTCGATCACTGCTTTTGTTTTAAACTAAAGTGATAATTAAAAATATAATTTTTTTCTCATCTTTGACAAACTGGAAATATATAATTAAATTAGTACAATTTTGTTTTGTAGACTGGAGGTATAGCGGAAGTGTACCTGATGCACGTCTCTCTTACTGGTGATCTGTTTGTTCAGATCGAGTCTGAAACTTACAAAGATCTTGAGAACATTCTAGAAGTTGCCAGAAGTAAGTTTTTATTTCATAATTTAGTGCATATAGAGTATAATTTTGCTATTAGTGCAATTTGCCTCAATATATCGAGTAACTACCACGTGGCTCCATGTATTTTATCCCTAATCCTCCTCACTGGGTGAACACTTCAGCAGAACTACATTTTGTTCAGCTTTCTCTCTCTTACTGATTGTATTAAATGCTGCTTAAGTAGGCATCAAAGAGTATATGGAGTGGGCATTAATTTGTCCTTTTGTGTGTGTATCTTCATTGGGAGCCTTAGTCATTTTCCCTGTGATTAAAATCAATGTGCTAGGAGTTTAGCTCTTGATACATTTGCCACTCTTGGTGTCTCTTCTCTGTATGTACTGCATGTATATGCTGTATGTATGTATGTATGTGTGCATGCATGCCTGCATATGTAGGCTAGCTATTGTTGTTTACTGATGATAACCGTTATGGTATCAGGGTTTCTAATTACTTTTGATTTTTCTTTTGCAGAGGAGACGCACGGGGAGGCGATGGAGATCGACCTTACTCGTTTGTATCTGGCGCGCTTCAACGAAGATGGGGAGTGGTACCGTGCAGTTCCCAGGAGTAACATTGATCCTGATGGCAAGGTTGTTGGAAGTGGTTTATATTGTGTCCTCATTTACTTCATGCTTCATCAACAAACAAATGGAATAGTAGTAATTTTGTTTTGTAAAGAAATGAAGGTACACTGTGTAGCTTGTAATTTATATACAGGGCATAAAGGTGGTGGTTATTTAACTTTTTGTACATTTTCCTAAGTTCATAACATTAGGCTGAGAATATATACAGTATATATTTACTCCACAAAAGTTGTTGCTGAAGTTACTGAACCAGGAGCCGGTCGGCCGAGCAGACAGCACACTGGACTTGTGATACTGTGGTCCCGGGTTCAATCCTGGGCACCGGCGAGAAACAAAGGGCAGAGTTTCTTTCACCCTATGCCCCTGTTACCTAGCAGTAAAATAGGTACCTGGGTGTTAATCAGCTGTCACGGGCTGCTTCCTGTGGGTGGAGGCCTGGTCGAGGACCGGGCCGCGGGGACACTAAGCCCCGAAATCATCTCAAGATAACCAAAATTAAATTCTCAGATTTAATTAGTGATGGAGTATGGAGTACCAGGTAAGTTTGTATTGTCTGTTAATTTCAATACATTTTCCACTATAAATCTTTTGACTGATTCAAATTCGAGTCATGATATATCTTAACATGATGTGGATCTGTTGTTACCTGTGCAGTCGGTGTGTTCACATGCATATCAAATTATGGGGTAGTCAACTTTTGGAAGATATTTTTGTTCATTACCGTTGTAATTTGTATTTTTATCTTTAGTTTTGTGTAATTACCTAAGTAATTGCCAAAGTGAAATTACAGGATGAGATTACAGGTCGTGGTGTTTAGTCTACTCTTATAATCATTGTCGTGTGTTGGTTTTGGCATTCATTGCTGTCTCTTAAATTGTTCCAACCATTTACAACTTTTGTTCGTAAAAGAGAACATTCGTATATTTTTTAGGCAGCTGTGTTTCCTTAGCTTGAATCTAGAACCTCTTGTTTATTGAGTTACATATTTTAAAAATTTCATCTTGTTAACTTATGTTGATTCCTGTTACTAATATCATGGTAGTCATTCCTCCTCTTTCTTATTACTGTGTGAGCTCACTTATCCGAACTATATGGGAAGGACCCTTCCCCCCCCTGCCGGATAAGCCAGATATTCAGAAAAGCAGAATTCTTACCGGGGAAGTCCAATAGTGAACATGTTCAAAAATTTGTACCACAACCAACATAATTTGAATGTCTACACACATTATAATTAAAAAATATACAATATTGTAATTTAAAACAAACTTCAGCTTGACTTGTTGTAGTTGGTCATCTTGATTGATGCTGCATACAGTACTGTATCTTCAAATCGGTAATTCTTGAAAATTTACATAACGTAGCTTAAAACAACGCTAAAATTACTGTTCAGTACATGAGCTTGGCAAGGTCAGTTTTGAATGCCAGCTGCTGAAGCTTCACTGTATGAATTATCTTGGCTTTCTGGTGAAGCTTCCCTGGTTGAAGGGCCTTGGTTGGCTGTTTTTGCCAATTAAGAATAGTCTTGTTTGCCTCCTGTGTTCATTGGCCTCTTATGATCAGCTCTTTGGTTCACCTCAAGTACTGAAACATGTTTCTAACCTCTGGAGTAGCACAGTTGGATGAAAAATTAACACAAGTCACGAGTAAACTGTAGTGTATTTGGTTGTCTATGATAGCACAACCTTCTTCCTCTTAACACATCCACGACAATTGCTGCTACGGTGTACTTCCAGACTTGCTACATTTGTCTTGGCAAAAAAAAAAAAAAAAAAAAATAATCAAAGTTGCTTCAGAAAATGTTTTATTAATGGTGCGGCACTGTGGTATAATGCAAGGACCGAGAGCACGTGACATGTTTAGCTTGGCCTGGCTTGGACGGGTCCACTCTGGGCACGCTGGCATGTTATTTAGACATCAAGCGGAAAAAAATCCCCAAATTTTTGCAGGAAACTTCAATCTTCATCCTGTGCAGATAGTTTTTAAGAAATTTATATTTATTATATTCAATAATAATTTAGTTTTTACTGTAATGAATTGTGTTAACATAATTCTTGGTTATTTTATATTATACAGATCATGGGCTCCTCCACATGCCCCTTATTTCCCCAGATAGTCCCTCCTGACTGGGGAATAAGGGGCATGTGGCCTTACACTGAAAACACCCACCCCAACACCACCTATACCCCGTGCCTATACTACTACTACTACTCTGGGATTAATACGGCATGGCCCTGATTGCCTGCCTGCAGTCTCCGGCAAAATCTCTGGATTTCTATCTGGATATGGTGAAGTTTGGCAGTAAGTTATGCGGACTTGATTTAGAACCAATACCAGACTGCACTATCAGGGAAAAACCTTGGGTTTCACAGTTTCTATCTAGATGTGAAGTTTTGCCAGAAAAATATTCGGCTGCAATTTTCGCTAGACAACTCGAATACAGTATTGGGATCGGCAGACTTTAGATTAGTGAGCTCATACAGTATGCTCCAACTTTGGCTCTTGTTTTGTCTTTGCACCCTTTCTAGATTATTGAAGAGCTTTTTGAGTGACTCTATTGATTGATTGATTTAATTGGTAAGGTTTTGATACATATTGTTTATCTCTAACATACAAACTTCATCCCAATTACAATTAAAGAAAAAACAAGTGATTACATAATGCATCTCACAAACCACATGACACTTAATAGAATTAAAAGGCTTCCTAGAGCTCCACGGGGATGGGATGTGGGCCCAAGATCCAATAAGTATTTACCCTCTCATCTACAACAGTCACTGGAAAATATATGTATATATTTACGATATACAAATACTGTACAGTATACTGTGTGTATATTTTATTTATATATTTGCATAACTACTAAGTAAAGCATGGATAATTATTGGGTGTTACTTTTTCGCCAGGGGTAAAGAAGTTTATTTATAATTTAGACGATTTTCTGCACGAGTTTTTTTTTTTTTGTTTTGAATATGTGAAGTTGATATTGCATTGAAATTTTACATAACCTTGCAAGTCAGAAACATTACATTTACCAGTACTGACTGCTTCTTCAATCTGATTAAAATAAGTAAAGTCAACATTCTCCCACGCAATGTAAACACTTTAATTACATAATAATAAAAAGTATGTTGTATAAATTTGCATTGGTATATGTTTCAATTTACATAATATGAATATCCAAAAGGATATCTCCTAGTTTCACTATACAGTACTGTTTTCTGTTAATGATTTTAATGTGATATCTTGAGAATGGCTTTGTGTATTATTGACTAAAAACATGCAAAACTTGTATGGCATATTTTAGAAGCTTAATTGTGGATGGATTATAATCTCAATTTATATTTATCAGTGAATAAACGTAGCAGATGTGTTTTATGTCGATGCCCTAATGCTGAGGGATGCTCTCTCTCCTCATTTTTCTGGCAGAGTTTCCTCAGTGGCTTCCCCAAGCTTGCCGGCAGGTTAACTCTAAGACTAATTTATGCCACCAGGCTCTTGTGAGTCGTAAGCACTTACTGGGGACTAGAAGCAGAATCTGGTCCATTTATTAGAGGTAAAGGGAGTCTTGAGGACACAAGATCATTCTTAAAAACTGGAAAGAATTCTTTTCAGTTTTCCTGTCAGAAATCATTGTCTTCTTTGGAGGTTCTTGTATTTGGAGTTACCCAGCCTCCTGCTTGGGAGGGTGGGAAAGAGAGAGAGACTACCGGTCTTAGCATTTAGAGGCATTTCGTAGGGAAACCAGTTCTTCCCTAGGGTCTATGGTTCAAGGTGGTGTGGCCAAGGGGTTTGCAGTGGGCGACCTAATATGGGTCTATGGGTACCTTCACCCTTTGTGGTCTCTCATCCCAGCTCTTGGGGATTTCAGCTATGCTATTTTTTTTTGTCCCTCATTGCTGTTTGAGCTGATTCAGGGTGGGCCCAAGTGTGTGTTTCTAGGTACTGGTAGGTCACATGAATTTGTCTTCTTGCAGGTTTCTGTTTTTTTGCTTTTCCCAATTTTTGAAAGGGCAGACCTCTTTGTCTGGCACTTAGTCTGTTTCCATGCACCTTCGGGGCATGAATTGACACGTTCCCATTCATCCAAGGTTCAAGGACGTGCTCTTGAAGGCCTTTTTTGTCGGTTTGAATCTAGTTCTTGATTTGCTTGGCTGAGGGTGCATTGCCTTCAGTTGCTGGTTTGACCTGTTTTTCTATGTAAAAAGACCCAACCTCCTTTTGGTTGGGTCGCTTTGGTGGCTTCATGTTTGTGCCCTTCAGGATCATCATTGGTTGGCGAATAACAGATGGCTAGGAGTTTGGAGTCCGGAGCTACCGTCTGGTGTTTGGAAAGTGTAACTACCAGTAACTAATAGCTGGAATGGGTCAACATGCAGATGCTCGTTTTTGGGCACCCTACCTTTCTGGCAGCTTTTCCTATTGGCTTGGGTTGATCTAGTATTACCAGACTTCCTTTGCCAATAAAGAGTTAACCAAATTCTGCTTTTGATCTCCGGCAGGTGCTAATGACACTCTTTAGGCATCATGACTTGCTCGGAGAACCACCGAGGGGACCTACCAGAAAGAGGCATTTCATTATATTTAATGCTGGAATTTATTATTATTATTATTATTATTATTATTATTATTATTATTATTATTATTATTATTATTATTATTATTATTATTATTATTATTATTATTATTATTGTCATTATTATTATTGTCAATATTATTATTGTCATTATTATTATTGTCATTATTATTGATATTATCATCAGTAGGTTGAATATGGTCTTAATGTTTCAGTTCTCTCATGTCTGCACAGGAAATGGGAGTCCTGGATATGCAAAACTTAAGTGCATTGTTTTCTAAGGCAATGCAGTGCAAATTGATGACGTTTTGATGAATAATTTGTCAGTGTTTACTTTGCTCTACAGAAACAATAGACCTTTTACATGTTTCCAAAATTACATTATTCCTTAATTATTTTACAGATTGCTCTAATTAGCACATTTCTCGCCTAACTGGTTTACGACATAGTGCTAATTTGGATTGCGATGAATTCAGCATTAACTTAAAATGTACATTCTTTCTGTAGACTGATTGTTGGTGGTATACAGCAAAACTAGGATTGTGTGTTTGTATTGCCTTGTAAATTTACCTAAACTTGAATATTGGCTTTTTTGAAAACCTGTGCATGTATCTGGCATTTGTGGAATGTTGAAAATGTTTTTGTATATGTTCTTACATACATGCCTGGTTGGTTTGAATTACAGTAGTTGTGTCTTCCTTTGTGACTGGGATATATATATATACATATTTGTATTTTGAATGCCTGAATAAAATAGTTGAATGAGTCGTATATATAGTATTAGGAAAATTATTATTGCTTCACTAATTCAAAGATTGTTTGAACTATTATCAGCTGTTGGATGGAATGATCATGCACACAGTTTACGTGTAGGCCTATGTTGACCAGACCACAAACTAGAAGGTGAAGGAACGATGACGTTTCGGTCCGTCCTGGACCACAGACCGAAACGTCGTCGTCCCTACACCTTCTAGTGTGTGGTCTGGTCAACATAACTTTATCCACATTATTGTGACTCATCGCCTGCATGTAGGGCTATATTTATATACTTCATTATATTTTGCATGTGTTCAAACTTGTAAATATAATCTTAAAAGCATACATGAAGGAATGTATATAGATACATGGATATCATGGCTGTTTCGTACAACAAAAGTATCCCAGTGACAAATCTCACAATATACTGACCTTCAGTGGTGTGGCTGCCTGTGCTCATGACACTAACCCCCATAACTTGACTAACAGGTTCAGATGTGGTTTGTGGACTTTGGTAACACAGATCGTCTGCAGCTCAGCAAGATTAAGGAGCTGGACAATGAGTATGATGAGCTATTAAATATCCCATACCAGGTAATCAAGTCATTGAGGTTTATGGTTATTTACAATCATTTACCACTGAAGTTCAGGAGAAAGTATTTATATTAGATTATTTAAGCTGCACTTACTAGATTTTGTATATGAAGTAGTTCCATTAGTTATATTTTTGTTTAATTTTAATCCCAGGGATGGTAGAGTATTGCGTTCATGTTAGCTGCACATCTTTAGGATTTTCTTAGAATTGAGGTATTGATTAGGGTAAAGTATATTGTATTGTGAAATGTTGTGCTAATTGTTAATTTTCTCTTGTCTGAGTGTTGGTTTAGACCCTGTTATTTTTGGGCTGGCCTCCAATAGTACCCTGGTGCATTGGCTCTGGTACCACAAAGGCATCTACAAAACTATCAGGCCTCTGGACTTGTGCAAGCCTACTGAACATCAGGATCTGAGATCCCCCCAAAACTTTGTAAAACTGTCCAGAAAGTACAGACCAAACAAAACAAACTATGAATCCTGATTGAAGAGAAAGCTGTAAACAAAGGGAAGTGGAGATTTGGCTGAATGTCAAACTCTAGTACTCTAGTGCAGCTTGGTGGCTGCTCATTACACGTTTGATATTCCCTTGCTCACTGGACCTGTTTGGCTCTTTAGGGCTTTCCAGTTCCTCATTCCTTAAACCCTGGGTTTCCGATCTTCTTGCCCCAATGGTCACCTCGGTAAACCGTTGTTGAATTTGATCAAAACAAAAATTATTTTGTGGGTAGACTCTGTAGCTCTCTGTATCTGTCTTTTTACCCAGCTTCTCTGAGAATCTGGGTCTGCATATTAATGCAGACCCATTGATGGACCCATTGGTGACCCCAAGCTCTGTTATCTAGTGACGCACATTAAGTTAACTGTTTCCCTATTCCATCTTTTCTCTTAATAAAGATTTGTAGTTTTGCTTTCCTTGTACATTTTTGGCAGTTTGACTAAATTTTTGGTTGATTTCTGATCCCTATGCTTCCCTTACCTCCTTGAAAACCCTCCAGATTCAGGCCTTCAGGTAAGTCTGAAAAGTTCAGAGATGTGGTAGTTTCGGAGATGTTTCTGTGGTGCTCAAAGACAGTGCAGTGTGGAGCTACTGAGTACATTCAGCACTTCTTTCTAATGAATGAGTTATGCATGATGTTTCATTAACTGTACCCTGGATTGTTGCATATATATACTGTACCTAAACTTTTATGGATTGGTATATTATTCCTGGTTTTATTAATGTAGTGGTGAGATGTTAGTTAAATTTTATTGCAAAATTTAAGACATCATGCAACTGCACGTCTTGTTTTATTACCTTTTAAAGCTTTTAAGTATAGCACAATGAAACATGACTGGATTCTTTTGTTGCATCCAGTCATGTAACCATGTGGCATTAAACAAGTCATTTTAGCCATAAAGCAAAATATATTTTCAGTAACATTATTAATGTGGCATGTAGAAAGTACAGTACAGTACTGTATTTAGTAAGCAGGTTATGCTGTGAGGATGTACAGGGTTTGCTGTAAGGTAGCGTGATAATGTAATGTGTCGTGTGTTCAGTAGAGCATGCTTGAGAATGTAGGGGTACACTACACACAGAAATCACACTAACGTGATGCATCAAATGAACAAATCCACAAGGGCCGTGACGAGGATCCTCGTCACGGCCCTTGTGGATTTGTTCATTTTAATGTACGGGTAATTAATTGTGAAACAATGTGATAGTATTTTTTTTAGGATATGTGTTTTGTGCATGTGTACATATATTTATTCTCGTGTATCATGTATACCTCATCCCCACACACACACACAGATACATATTCACCCACACTACATTGTCAGCTCACAACAGAGGATTGTGGGGTTTAATCCCTATGGTAGGACAGAGGTGTTTTAGGCATCATTTTATTTCATCCGATGCCTTTGTTCACCTAGCAGTAAATAGATATCTAGGAGTTAGATAGCCATTCTGGGTTGCATCCAGGAGATTTCCAATAATAAGCTTAATAAGTATAACAAAAGAAAATAGGTTAGGAGTCATTACATTAGAGAACTGGAGATTGGAAAGGCAGGGTCCAAGAGCTTAAAGAAAAATAGCAGCTCATTTCCCCCAGGCACAAATAGGTAAATACTTACACACACTCACTCTCGCCCTTTTTTCTATGCCCACCTTATGTTACGATACAATTGATTTTCCACAAGTTATAGTTACTGTAGTTTTTTCATGACACCATTTCCTTTTGTGCTGGTATTTGCATTGGTTTTGCAAATTAAATTACTCGTGTACTGTCATGAGGGAAACTAAGCATTTCATATATTTTTGTCTAGATTCATTAATATGAAATTCTCATTAATGCAAATATATTTCAATTTGCATTATGTCCAAAATTCTTATCATATTATTCTTATTATATACTTCATTTATCTCCCATCTATTAAATGATCATTTAATTTATAAAACATTACTATTCTTCATGGTTTATTTGTTGGTTTTAGTTTAGAAGTGTGTAATGATGTTGAGAATGGTAAAGGCATTAGTTTCCTCTGGTGGTTTCTTCCTTTGGTTACTCACAGTACTCTACTGCAAAACTAAGTAGTTTCCTACATTTTATTTACTATTCACAGCCCAGTTCACTGAATGCTCTTAATCCATTTTTCCCCATTTTCATTTATTTGTTTACTCTTCTGTTCATTTTTTGTTTTCATTTATTCATTTGTATCATTTTGAGTGGTAACGTTTGCACTTGTATAATAGCCAAACCAGTACATACAATTCTTTGATTATTTTAATTGCTCCAAGTTTTTAAGACTTTTGAAGGAATTTAAACATGTCTAAAGAGGGTTTTGCCCGAGGTCATTCCAGAAAGAACAAAGTATTAAGCTTACGGGTATGTAAATAGTTGTAAAATATTCTAACAGTTGAGTTAATGAGATTCATTATTTTAGTATTTTTTGTTTAAATTTGCTACACTGATTTTGTAGTAAAAAGTTTCTCTTCTAAAAAAATATTTGCTCAGCAAACTTAAATTTCTCTTTTTTGCCTATGTATTTCTCCCAGTACATAATGTATCATTTCATGCTTATTTTTCACATGAATTCTGTCGAGTAAACTTTGGCCTTTTTATCTAAACATTTGCCAAGAGAGTTCCTGGTAAGTTTTTAATCAATGTAGTTTAAGGTGGCTATCAATCAATAGAATAATGAAATTACAGAAAGCTTTTATAAATAAGAATATACCAAGGAACTACATTGAAGGTATTGTGTTCTAAGATTTAATTATAAGGTTATTAAATTATGTTCAACACAAATGTAAAGATTTTCAGCCACCTAGGTTGTAGATAAATAAGTCGAGATAACTTTGAACTTTGGGCTTACCTTGTCGGTGCCTATACACTTCTGGGCCTCGGGTTGTTTGCCAGTCTCCTGTCCATAAAGATGCCCCTCGGTGGAATAATGTACATAATCAAATAATGGTGTAGTTTCTTTTGCACTGCCTGTGGGTAAGTGGGAGTGGCTTCTGCTCCCCTCTCCTACCTGCTATGGTGGCACTACAAGCAAATTGCATTGTGTGTTCCCCATGCATGGAGATCCCTGCATTCCCTTAGGGTCTTGTTGAGCAGCTGCTCAACAATGTCCCCTACCATGCTTCTTCGGTGGGGGATGGGTAAAATGAGAGGTTCTGTGGCCCACTTGAATCAATCGGCTTGTCTAGTTAGACATTGGATCAAGTAGGCATTGAGGGAACATAGAGCCGGAACAACCGTGGACATATTAAAGAGAAAACTAGACTGTTTTCTAAGACGTTCCGGGCTGTGGTGGGTATGTGGGTCTGCGGGCCGCTCCAAGCAACAGCCTGGTGGACCAAACTCTCACAAGTCAAACCTGGCCTCGGGCCGGGCTTGGAGTAGAAGAACTCCCAGAACCCCTATCAACCAGGGATTGGTATCCCTATGTCTTTAGAATACAGTACCATTAATTGGGTCTGGTTCACCACTCAGACCCTTAAATGGTGACCCCACATATGCTGTTCCAGTTACCCTCGAGGTTGCTTGCCCATATGCTTGTCTTCTTTTGTTGGGCTCTGTGGTGGGTGGAGGTGCAGGGCAGCAAAGTCAAATTTCACTTTTCTGTGGTGAGCCCCTTGTGGCCTCCCTGAAACTATATTCTAAAATAGTTCCCATCTACCAAGAGGTAGATATATTATCAGTATTGTATTATGCAATAATGTTTCCATTAAAATATAGTTTATTTACATGTAAGACCAAAGTTTTATTACATGTAGTGGGGAGAGTTTTGAATTAAATAACCTCTTGACTAGAAATCAGTGTATTGATTCAGGCCCAGATATTACATTTAATTACTAGGTATCTCAAGAAGGAATACACTACATAAATAGTGTTTCAATGTTAACACATACTGTAATGCCTTCTTTATTGCTTAGGCTTTGCAGTGTCGCCTACACAATGTTCCACCAAACCCAGGACTTCATTGGACGCCTCGAACCTGCCAGCGCCTTCAAGAATTATTGGCAGAAAACACTCCTCTACTCCTCAAGGTAAATTAAATTTAGCTGTATTTGTCTGAATCATATTCCTGTATTGTGTGATGATACTACTTGCCTTCTCATCTTGGCTTTTTTAAATGTCACTTTGCTACATTAATGGATTCCTTTGTTTGCTTACTGTGGAGATTTAAGATTTAAGCCTAACAGCACTTACAAAGAGATGAGAAAGTCAGCTGATGACCATATAGACCAGATTTGTTAATCACTTCTGGTAGTGAAGAGCATAAAATGCTGGCAACATAATGTCACCTATGAAGTCTACTCTGGTATTTTATCTTGAGGACATCTGGTTTGGACAGTTAATCACCATTGCATGGGGTAGCTGGTGATGTGACAACAGTCAGCAATGGGAGCAATGGTGGCAGTATCAATGGGGCCACAACCTGGGAATTGCATTCTTTTTTTATTTATATATATACAAGAGTTGTTACATTCTTGTACAGCCACTAGTACGCGTAGCATTTTGGGGAGACACTAATGCCCCGAAATCATCTCAAGATAACCTCAAGAATGTATATCTTTTCAGGTGCAAGGTGATGGAACAAGTGGTGACCCACCCTCAGTTGAGCTGTTCAAGAGGATTCAACCTCAGAATGAGCTTGTCTCTATCAATGCTACTTTAAGTATGGACTCTAGTCTCTTTAGGTATGTTTCTCTATCAATCTCTCGGTTGTATGAGCTTGGTGAGGCAGGCACATTCATTAGGTATTCCCAGTTTGGATATCTTATGCCTTTTGTCATGTTTTTCTTCCTAGAGGATTTTCCAATAGACATAACTTGAATGCTTCATGAAATTGTGGAGTCTAGGCGACTTTTTTTCTTTTTAACGCTCTCGATAGTTTCCCCTTTAGCTTATTTCATTGTCTAGGTTATTTTCGAACTGTTTCCCCATCAGAGGGGTGGGAATCGGAGATAAAGCCACTACCAACGTGTAGCGCGCACAGAAGTACCGAGAGGGGGGGGGGGGCACCAAAACTCGATCCTCCTTCAAGGTAATGTTTGGCAAAATTTAATTGCCCAGCAAAACGCGGAACAAGTTAAGAAAGCATTAAGCTTACTCAACCACCTCCTCCAGCAAGCCTAAAATATAGTCAGATGCTTTCTACAGACCTGAAAGTTTTTCACCTACATTACTGATAACTAGGGTTATCATCTGTACATAACAAGTGTGCACCTCAGTAGTGAGGTTCTCCTCTTTGGTTCCCCACTACGTTCATGATTCATAGATATTGTGTACCAGGACTTAGGTGTTTGTGCTGGGTATAGTTTGTTTAATTAACTGAGAAATACATTCCAGTTTGACATTTATTATATTGGCTACAACTCAACTGTGTTTGGTAGTTTGCTGGCCAGTTGCTTATCCTGTGTGGTGGTGCAGTCTAGTTTGTAAACAAAAAATTTTGCTTTGGCAAGGATTTCATGGATGTAATTTTTGTTTTGTTTTCCAAGACACAGGCTTGCCTCCCTTACCCATGTAAGATGGCTACTAGTTTTCTTCCACAGTGTCTGGTGTCCTTACAGTGGCTTTCGCCTTCGCTTCACCTCCCAAATTTTGTTGCCGATGAACATTTTAGGGACTGACCCTCGACTGTTGGGTACAGTTTGGGGGTTGCCATATGCAAATTATTTTACCCCATTAGCTATTCCTCCTGTTGGGTTCATGGTTACTTTCACCTCTCAGGTGTTTTGCTTTGGTTTCAACCCGGTTCCTGTCTCCATCCCAACTCGACCATTGTTCACTAGCAATAAACATCATAAAAATGCTGTATTTGACAGCTAAGTTTTCTATTATACAATTTATTTCCTGATATAGACTTTTGAAACCTATTTAATGATAGGAAAGTAAATGGTAAATCTAATTGTTCTATAAATTTTATCTGGAGTTGCTTAATAAATGTCTACACTATATAAGCTAATGTAGTGCTTTATTTGGTACCAGAGTTAAAAATAAATAATTATGTAAGTTTAGATTTGGGCAAGGCATGGGTAAGTACAGTACTGGTTTGGAAATTTGGTTCTTGATTTTTTTATGGATCAAATTACCACGTAACATAATAGATGAAACTACTGGCAATGTGACATTGGATTAGATATTTATACACTTTATATAAATATCAGTCCTTGTTTTGTTGCATTAGATTATACTGTAATAGTAAATGCTTATGGTGTTATGTGCTCATATTATAGTTTTCTTTTGGCAGTAGTGAAGGTGACAGGAACAACAATAGTGTTGAAAAGGAAGTCTTCTCCAGTTCAAGGACCTCCTGCCGTCGGTCTTCCGTCACCAGTCAGTCGTCCAGTAGTTATGGTAAGTGGTACTGTATGTCTGTCTGAATCATCTGTTTATGCTTGGTACATTTGTATTGCAAACTCCTAAATACCTTACTTATAGATAGCATAATTTAATGTATCTTGTGCTGCTAATATACAATATATAGGATTGAAAACCTGTGATAGTAGCCAGTGAACTTGAGCCTAATGATTTTGATTAGGAAAGATTTATTGAGGTTGATTGAGACTTATTTACATAGGTTGACAGTACTGTAATTGATTAAGGAATTGGGGGATAGAAATAGGGGAAGAGATTACGAGACTAAGATGCATGCAATACAGATACAGACATGGTGTCAGAGAATAAATATATTTTGTTCTTCATAGGTACCTCCGGCCCGTCTTCCATAGGTAGCCAGCATGATTCTTTGCCAGAATCTCCTCGTCTCTCAAGAAGCTCAAGACTAGAGAATCTAGTCCCCCAAGAAATTCCAGCTGTGGGACAGTTCTTTGATGTCTTTGTCACATTTGCTGCTAGTCCTTCTAACTTTGCTGTGAGTAGCATTATTTTGTGCTTTGTGTGTGTGTGTGTGTGTGCATACGTGTTTATGTAATTACCCAAGTGTAATTATGTAAGTGTAATTAAGGGTTGAGAACTACTCGTGGTGTCCCGTCTTCCCAGCACTGTTTGTCATATAATGCTTATGTGTGTGTGTGCAGCTGTTGTGTATAGGAAGTCCCCATTATACAAATGCCCAGTATACGAACACTCATCCACCCAAACAAAATGTCTACATGACTCACCAGTGTCATGCAGCAACCCACACTGCTCCAAGTAGCAGTAACATGACCCTCCCACATAGATCTAATTCTCTTTATTTACAAAGTTCTAATAAGCAATGTAATTTTGCTATGTTTTGTCCACAGTAGTGGACAAAAATGACCAGGAAGCCCAGGTAGTAGTCTTAAGTTGTGTGCCCATATTAGATGCCCCAGATTTGCCCTCACTTGGCGTTGGTTAATTCAACCATGGTTCCGTCCACACTGCCTCCTTCCTTCTCTGGTGAGCATGATTCATCCTTCTCCCAACTCAGTTTCCAACTCCGAAACGTCTGTGGGTTTCGGAGTCGGGGCAGGGTTTAGCTTGGGTTGTGGCTTGGACTGATCTGGGGGTTTGCCCCCTTCTTTCTTGGGTGCAGAGGCAATTGAGCCTCTTGTGCCAGGGCTTCTGGGTCTTTCCAGCAGGCCCCTTCTTTTGAAGCCTCTTCTTTGGACTTCGTTTTTCTATCTCAGGCAGTGGGCATGAATGATGGCTCTGCCTCGGGGATTGGAAGGAGTCCGACTGGGGCTCTTGGATCCCGTTTGATCTTTTGTGGACCTTGGTGCCTTCTGTGAAGGGTCTTGTGTTGCAAGGGAAGGAGTTTTTTTTATCCCGCTCCTTGTATGAGTTTCAATTGGGTGCGATTCCCTCCCAGGATTCATTTGAGTGTCTTGGGCCCTTCAGTTTCATCCTTCTCGAGGTTTCCTTCTTCCTGGGTTTCCCCAGTGGAAGCTCAAAAGGCCCTATGTGCGTACCTCCTGCGCAACCCAGGTTACGCCTCAGTTATGGACCCAGCTTCCTTAGAGTTCGGTTCTTACTTCCCTTATTGGGTGTGTTATAAGGTTCCAGAGTTATCCTGGCTTGCATATTGTCCTTTCATTAGTTTCGCTTCGGGCTTGGTGTGGTTCCTGTCGTACCCACAAACTTGAGGGGGAGGGAAAGGTGTCTTCTGTATTACAGGTGTTTCTGGGGGGTTCTTTAGAGTCCCTCAATGCATGCCTCTTCGCTCCTGCCCTTTCATGTGATGTGGGTCGTTTGCAGATGCATGCTGCAAACGACCCAATAGTCGAGCTTCTAGAACTGCTACTTCAAACGACCAGTCTGACCTATTTGCAGGTCTTGCTTCTGCCACTGTAGGGCATCATCAGTAGTGGCTCCTGACGAGTTACTTTTCAAAATCTCTTGAGATTGATATTTTCTCTTCCATCAATCATCTAATTCACATGCTGAAACTCTCACAAAATGTGTTATTGGATAAATCTTTTTCTTGTGTATTATCAGTTTCTCACATGTAAACAACCTTCTGCTCTAGTAAGTATTCTCTTAAAAATGTTTATATTTTAATAATACTAGGTACTCGAATCACCTTTTTATTTTGTTTCAATATTTCAGGTTCAGTCATGGAAAATGACTAAGTCACTCTCAACCTTAACATCCGAACTTCAAGCATACTATAATAATCCCATCCATTGTGACGACTTGGTGGATATTGAGGTTGGAGAATATTATGCTGTAAAGCACACTGATGATACATGGTATAGGTAAGACTTATGTTTCTGGCATTTAAAAATCAGCCTAGTGTACAGTAATAATAGTTTTAAATAAATGACTGGCTTTATTTTGGTGATTTAAGATATAAATGTTAATTAGGAATACCTAGCAGGGATACTTTATGGTGTTAACATCATTTTGTCTCCAGGCACATTGAGGGAGATCTTTGTGTATCTGCTTGAAAGTCAAATACATGTACAGTACATACACTATGTATGTATATGTTTGATCCACTTAACGATTTGAACTAAACAAACTATTCAATTCATGATGTAATTAAATAAAATTAATTTAAATTCATTCTTGATTTGCAGAGCACACATAACTACGGCTCAAGAAGGAATAGTTGCAGGCCTATTTGTTGATTTTGGAGATTGCTTTGTTTTATCGCAGGATAAAGTGCAGTTACTTCCATCTAAGTTTCGTCGCCTTCCTTGCCAAGCCATCAAGGCAAAATTACACGGTAAGTAAATATTAAAGAATGTTATAATGTTCGTCTTAGTCATCACATACCTTATTGTTTTCACGATTTGCCAGTAATATTTTTTTGCAGTATCTGAAAGTGTGTGTGTATGGGCTACAAACTTTCATTTCTTTTGTGAATTTCTTTCATTATTACAAAAATGTAATAACCTAAAAGACGAGAGAAATATCAAATAATATATACAGTATATACATGGAAAATACTGGAGGGTCAGGTCCCAAATTTGTACAGTAAAATAACAACGTACTGGAGTAAACGATATGGAAGAAAATGCAGAATAGAACCGGTGAAGAGCAGGGGTGCCATAGGCACAATCAGAGAACACTGTATAAACATCAGAGGTCCACAGTTGTTCAACATTCTCCCAGCGAGCATAAGAAATATTCCTGGAACAACAGTGGACATTTTCAACAGAAAACTAGATAGTTTTCTTCAAAGAGTGCTGGACCAACCAGGCTGTGGTGGGTATGTGGGACTGCGGGCCGCTCCAAGCAACAGCCTGGTGGACCAAGATCTCACAAGTAAAGCCTGGTCTCGGGGAGTAGAACAACTCCCAGAACCCCATCAAGTAGGTAACCAGATACTGTACCAACAGGCTTGTCCCTAATGGTCAGATCTCGCTCCCTATAGATTCTGTTAAGAGGTAAATGTGATGTGTTAATATTTGTTATATAATAAGTTTAAGTTTCAAAATGGTGACAAATATATGTATAATAAAAAAATTAGTGGAGAAAATTTTCGTTGCTAGTGCTATAGTAAATTTCTTGTTTCTTTGACTTGGCAAGTCACCAAAATATAAATAGTACATAGGATAATATAGCTTCATGTCATTTTTTTCTCTCTCTCTCTCCCTCTCATCAGGCATAGTTGCTGCCAATGTGGACTGGAGTCCTGAAGACACTCGTCGTTTCCAGGACTTGGTAGAATATCGTGCGTTTGTGTCAGTATTGAAGGATATAGAAAAGGAAAATGATGAATCTATGGTACTTTCCTTAAATCTCATTGATACTTCAGATAAAAACCTGGATGTCTACATCCATCAAATCCTTTTAGATGAAAGACGAGCTGTGAAAAAGGAGGAACTTTAAGATAATTTAGAATGTTTGTCTCGTGGAAGAGGTGGTCTATGTAAACCTGCAAGGCCAGTCTTCTGTGCCTATAGTATACAGTATATTTATATGAAAGGAATGGTGCTTGCAAGTTCATTTATGCTATCATCATGATGTGATAATGTTGACGACACTGAAGTGATTACTCCGAAAGCTTTATTCAGTAACTTAAGTATATAGTGAATTAAGGAATCTGATATATTTTTTTATAGATCATTTACTACGTCATATTTAGTTATGATATATACGATATATATTCCAGTTGCTGTATAACAACTGTCATCATTTTCTGCCATTATCTTTTAAGCCAATGTTGTTTGGTAAAAGTATAAAAGGAGCGGCACCAACATTGTTGAAGTAAGAGTCATGCCTTAGTTACATTAGTGCCTATTAAGGGAATCTCTAGTGTCTATAATAAGTGGAGGAAATATATATTTACTCTGGTGTTGTTATCCCCTATTTAGCCAATGTTGTCTACATAATACAAACACATCTTTCTCAAAGGAATAGTTAAATTTTGATGGGATAGCTGTTGATTTAAAGTCAAACTTTTTCCCCAGGAGGAAATATAATTTAGCATAATATTTGTAATTTGTAGTAAAATGATGAGCCATGGTTCAACTCTCATTAGAGCTGTACTCTATGAAATGTGTGTTGCATTTGACATGGGCATTGTGTATACCCAAGACTAGCTCCTTAACTAGGAGCTCCCAATTCAGTCGTTTGGAGGATACCCATTTGCTTTTGTCATACAGAAAACTGTGTAGACCTATTGTCATGTATATTGGTGAGCTTGATATGTTATCTGGCCAGATGACACTAAAACAAAAACAAAAAATAACAGTAGCAAAGTTAAAAAACTACATAAAAATCGTAAAAACAGTCCTAAAAAAAGTATAAAAGAAAATTTACATTACCTATGCATCTACTTAAATTCTATTTAACCATTTAGAGAAGCATGTTTGACTAGTCTGGTCTAGTCATTTCCGACCAAATAACTAATCCAAAATAACAGTCTAATAATACAGTATTTTCTTCATATGGACTACCTTGTTACCCAGTAGGTAGGCATTGTGAGTCTGAAATGATATTAATATGTTGTTTAATGGGTTAATATAAAGTATTACAAATGTCATTTTGTTATCTAAAGCTTCCAAAAGAGCATACGTTTAAGGTATGCCGACTTCTTTTTTTTTTTTTCGCATCTTGCCTTACAGCCATTGAAGCCTTTGATATATTTTTAGTTCTCAGGTTTTATTAACTTTGCTTTAAAAAACATTTTTTGACTTCCCTTATTTAAGGAAGCCGAGAAATGGATATCAATGAAATTACCTCAGTACTAATTCATTTTATATCACTGCATGAGTGATGAGGTGGTTGGAAAATATTTTTTTTCTCCAGTTTTCTGGGATTCAGTTAAAAAATATGAAATATTGTACTCTGAATAAATATGAGGAATGAGTTGAATTTGTTTCTTCCCAGTAATATTTATTTAATAACAACACCGTATAATACCAGTACCCTTGTTGACCAGTCCACACACTAGAAAATGAAGGGACGACGACGTTTTGGTCCGTCCTGGGCCATTTTCAAGTTAAGTTACACAATCGACTTGAGAATGGTCCAGGACGGACCGAAACGTCGTTGTCCCTTCATTTTCTAGTGTGGATTGGTCAACATACTTTAGTCACGTTATTGTGATTCATCGCCTACCAGTACCTTTCATTGGTCTCCTTTAGCTAAAGGCACTAATTCATTAGGGTCTTTGTACGAGTATGCTTGATGTACTTGGACTCTCCTGTTAAAAGAAGTGGATAGCACCATTTATGATGACCAGACCACACACTAGAAATTGAAGGGACGACGACGTTTCGGTCCGTCCTGGACCATTCTCAAGTCGATTGTGACAATCGACTTGAGAATGGTCCAGGACGGACCGAAACGTCGTCGTCCCTTCAATTTCTAGTGTGTGGTCTGGTCAACATACTTCAGCCACGTTATTGTGACTCATCGACCATTTATGATGCTACTATTCTTTCCTGCTCCAGGGACTATGATGAAAGATCAGACTGCATAATTCCGGCTACGTTAAGAGGCAGCCGAGTATCTAGCCGCCCTGCCTCATAATGACGAGATCCTAGTTCTGGTTTCCAAAAATGTCCAATTAAATGTCAATATCAACACCACCATCCTCCAACCCCACACTGCAGCTGGGGACAGGGAACTTAAGACTGCCATGAAGATATTAAATACATCCTCAAAGTTCAAGGTTATCCTATCCAGGTCGATAGGTTCACTTGGTTCCCTTGCAATCTTTGATATCTTTGACAGTCGGAATCTCACGTCTTCTATAATTCTTACTGGTGCCAAACGTTCCTTTCAGGAATACGTCCCCTCTTCATGCCTCTGCAATAGGTGTTGGAAATAAGGTTGAGGAACTTTGAAGCATAAGTTACGTGTTCTTTTACCCCTGTGGGTTATGACACCATTCTAGGTCAGCTTAGTGGTTTGTTATGGTGCAGATTATGTTTTAGTTTGTTACATGCAGATTGTTATATTTAAGGTGTGTGTAGTGAAGTAACATCAAAAACTTTTATTATTCATAAATATAATACTGTGGGCATATTAGTGACACAAATATATCTGCATATAGTACTTACCCTTTACATGTTCTGTGATAGAAATAGCATTATTGACAACCCAGTGCATCATTGCACTTGAAAAATCAATTGTAATGACATTAGAAATATGAAGAAAATTTAATACAGTACTGTATATTTAATGCTTGCAGTTACAACTTCGTACAAAATGTGCAGAGCTAGGCTGAGCTCTGATAACTGGTTCCAAGTTTATTACACACATCAGACCTGCTTAGTGATTCGTAATGGTGCATAAAAATGTAGTTATACATAACATATATAATGCAAAAACAGCAAAAGCGCATGTTTTATTATTCTAGGCATTAAATATTACGTGCATATTAGTGACACTGTTTTTGAGCATTCTGATGTACCATGCATTTTATTATATAAATTTCTGAAATAACATATTGAATAATATTACTGCAAAAAGCCAGGAAAAAAACAAATCCGAAACATTGAAATGAATATCTAACAGTATCTTTCACAGCAACTCCTGACAGAGGCGATTACACCATAGATGTTTGTGAATCTTGACGTCGTCGTGAGATTTCTGGGCTTCACTATCGCCAAAGTTAGTCACATATAATTTGTTTTGAATTTTTCCATGATCAGGGAACACATTTTAATTATTAGAAACAAAAAATATAATTATTTTATTCTTGCGCACCAGGATGATGATGGGTATAAACAGGGGCGTAGTGTAGGGGTCAAGAGCTACCACGCCTCTGTCAGAAACATAAACCTGGGGCCAGATTCACGAAGCAGTTACGCAAGTACTTACGAACGTGTACATCTTTCCTCAATCTTTGACGGCTTTGGTTACATTTATTAAACAGTTTACAAGCACGAAAACTTGCCAATCAACGGTTGTTATTGTTATAAACAGCCTCCTGGTGCTTCGGAGCTCATTAACTGTTTAATAGTTGTAAACAAAGCCGCCAAAGATTGAGAAAAGATGTACAGGTTCGTAAGTGCTTGTGTAACTGCTTTGTGAATCTGGCCCCTGGTTCCTCTCCTCTGCAAAGGGAAAGATGGCTGAACCCCTCACTCTGGCTACCTCCTCCAATCTTGTTCATGGATTTCTTCCTATCTCATTGGTAGAGTTGGCTAGATTCTCTATAAAAGTTCCCATCGCCTTTGTTCATACCTCCTGGTGATGCACCTTGATATAGAGCATGCCACCATTTGTCCTTACTTGGCCCCACTCAACTGCTGCTTCCTGATGTCCCCTAGTATAGTCCTTTCTCTTAGCTTTTTTTTTCTTCTTCCCTGTAGTGTTTCTTCACAATGTTTATTCTTCAATGTAATATATATAGTACATGTTTTTATGCCAATTTTAGTGAACTACATCTTTTGACATAGCAGTTTCACCACTTTGTGTGTGTGTCACCAGGAACCGATGCTTGGCATTCAACTTTGTCTTTTCCACTGTTGTTCCTTTCTCCTCCCCTCCAGCTTTTTCTGGTACCCTTAACTCTACTGCTGTCTTTATCTGGAATGATGTTCCATTTGGTTCCTTTCTTCAGCTGAACATGCATTCCATGGCCACTTGTATCTGTGAGTAAGTGGCATTCCATCTATTTTATTTGTCTTCCTTTTATGTATTCTGATTTCTCTATCTTAAACTTCTCTTACACATTGTTGGAGCCGGTGCTCCTTTAGAGTGATTTTAACTATTGGCATGCCCTCTGGGATGATATTCTTACTAATTAATACACAAAGCCATTTTTTAGAACCTTTTGCCTGTGCACATAGGCCTAAAATCTTCTGTTTTCACATAGGGGGAGAAAAGCATAGTGGTTTAAAATCACTTCCACCAAAGCAAACAGTTCACTTAGAATGTCACCCAAAACATCCAATGGCTGTCTAGACAAACAGAAAATGTGTCAATTGACAAATGTAGGTATGAAACGTGTGCCAACCTCCATGATCACCACCAGGTGGCAGTTTGTCACTGAAGGTTGCCAACCAACAAGATACTCACTTCCAACCAACAAGATCCTCACTTCCAAGCCCGATTAATTTTAGTGGACAGTGATGCTTCTACTGGATCTGTCTATGATTTTTTCACTAAAAGTTAAGTGGAATTTGAAGTCCTTGGGACATCTCGTCCTTTGTTGCTATTATCATCTGTATTAATGTTTCATGATTGTGTTTATTCTATAATCATGTTTAGTTATATCATTACAAATTGCAGTTGCTTTGATTTAGACCAATATTTAAACCTATAGATGATATTGGATATGAGAATAATAATAATAAATTTTATTTGTAGAATTTTTCTCCAGGCATCCAGCTTTCATGTAATTTAAATAGGAGGAAAATATCATTCCTTGGAGCAGACGATGCTGCTCATCTGTATTTGCCATTCTCTCTCTCGTTGCAGTCATCAATGGCATCTGAATAAATACAGAGCAAGACATCTGCCAAGGTCAGCTAATATAATCAGGCGACAACTGCAAGCAAGGATTTCTGCATCAACAATCACCAACTACACAACCCAGAATTAAACTTTTTTTTTAATCAGGTAATTGGTATGAATGCCTTATGATTTTGTCTTGTTTGTTTGTTCCTAAAGTTGCAGTAGATGTATGATATCTGGAGAATATCCATGTATTAGATTGAATTTGTTTTTATTTAGTCTTACAACCCTTTTAACTTAATAGAATTGCAGTACACTTAAGTCAAATAATAAATTCATGATGGGCATTGACTTGCACAGCAATAAGCTATATTATATATTCTTAAACAAGCTACAAGGTAGCGAGTCAAGTGAGAGCCAGCAGAGAAGAAATGCGATTCCTGAAGTGATGGTGAATGGAATGAATGGGCTAGGTAGTGCATTGTAGCCTGCAATATGTAGATAAAGTGAAATTCAGCCCAACCAGATAGTTATTGCCTTGCAGATCATTTGATTGACAGCACATGGGTCAGTGTGTTCAGAGTGCCAGCCTCGCTGAGCAATTATATTCATGATGCAGAGGCAGTAGGACGTGCCCACTGCTGCTGCTGCTGCACTCAGAACCCAGTTTGTATCAAGAAGCCTGTAAGTATTCTCCCCATGCATAATTTAAGAGGCACTCTTGTGTATGGTTTACATAATGCTACGAGTATTCTGGAGGTCACTTGACTGAAAGGGTATTAGAAAGAGTGACGTTTGTAAACTGTTTGATGAATTATGTCACAGCTGCCCAGAATGAGATAAAGAAGGGTTTCCAGAGTACTGTACGAGAAGCCCGATAATCTCTATGTATTTGGGTTATCCGGTAGTTTTAGAGCTTCGTTGTTACTCTTTTGTGTCTATGCATGTGGTGCTGTTGGTCCTTGGTTGTTTCTTGATCACCATCTTATGCTGAATACCGTCTCTTCTTATCGATCAGTGCTGGCAGAACCACTACTGCTTGCATTCACGCGGCCAGCCAGCCAAGCGGACAGCACGCTGGACACGTGATCCTGTGGTCCCGGGTGCCGGCGAGAAATGATGGGCAGAGTTTCTTTCACCCTATGTCCCTGTCACCTAGCAGTAAATAGGTACCTGGGAGTTAGTCAACTGTCACGGGCTGCTTCCTGGGGGTGGAGGCCTGGTCGAGGACCGGGCCGTGGGGACACTATAGCCCCGAAATCAACTCGAGATAACCTCAAGAAGTGTTAATACCTCTTCGGTGCCATTATGGAAGCTGTCTTGTGCATTTTCACTCCTAGCCTGTTCATCCACCACCTGATCCTGTTTGGTCCTTGGATAGCATCCTCACATTTCTTTCTTCATTGAAGTTTATTGTGTCCCTTTCGGTCCAGGATTTCTTTTCTAAGGCTGTTTTC